ATAATTTCAGTTAGGGTGAAGAAAAGCTTTTGGTTTCTCTCCTGAGGCCACAAGAGGGCGCATTGAGCAAAATATTACTAATGCACGTACTCAAAACATAAGAAAACAGACTATCTGTGAAAAAAAGTGCATAATGTTTAAAATAATGTTTATAAACCAATTATAATTAAGTTGCTTAAACAACTATAAACAAAACAGCATCATGTATGTATGCATAGTTTAATACAAAGAGCCGAAAGCCAATCACACAGAGTACATTTTTCATTTAAAAACACGAGTTGAAGTGGGATGGGGAAAAAACCCGCCATAAAGTCTCGAGCTATGTTTTTTTCAAAGTTGAACTTGCATTAATTTTACATGGCTTTCTAAACATGCGGCTCTTTTGTGTGAGACGCGAGTGCAACCGTGATGGATGTCCCTCTAGAAAATGCGCGAAATATGCGTTCTGTGTGAACGGCTTGGTTTAAGTTTTGACATAAACAAGATCTCCGCATTGATGTTCTCTTTTCCCGCAATATTTGTAATTAACAATGCAGCAGCGCCGCATCTAGTGGCTTCAACTGGATAGGTTAACAAAAACATTAAAATGCAATGACATTTACATCGTCATCGCATCTCGTGTGCCACTGATAAGGCTGCCTCCTTAACGCACACCTAAAATTCGAATGCAACGTTTTTGCATTCAAATGTGGATTCTTATTTTAAATTCGACTAATATTCGAAATTCAATTTTTTTTTTGACATTCCTAGTCGGCACCAATGTTCATTTACCATGTTTTCATATCAAGCAATCAACTAGCATCAACATTTAAGACATTTAAAACAACTTTAATGGCAAAACTCACTTTCAGACACCAGCGATTGTCTGAATTAACTTACGATTGCGACCCGATGGGAATTCTGGTCACCGTATGAGGCAGAAATGTATTTATATGCGATACTAAAGGCTGCATGCTAACAATCCTATAAGAACACGTTATGCTTATGAAAATACCAGAGACCGCTTGAAGAACTTGGACAAATCATTTATGATTATAATCATGTATTTATTGGTTTAATATTTCTGCCTCTTCCATGTGTCTTTGTGTGACTGTGTGTGTGTGTGTGTGTGTGTGTTGGAGTAATTCACACTGAGATCAGGTGGATGGTCACTCAAGGTTGCTTTACTGGGCCTGACAGACAAAACTGGGACAAACACGACCAAAAGGCTGGTTAGAATACATTGCATCGATGTTGCATGAGAAGTCTTAGCAGCAGGGAGATATGAGACTTTGCTGCTGACATTTTCTCAAAAGTGACATATAGTGGACAAAAACCTCAAAATAAAGTATACATTAAATAAAATAAAACAAAACACTAATACAGTCAATTCACATTAATACAGAGAAATTATAAACTTAAGTGACCAATATTTTGTATAAAAGAAATAGACAGAAGAATGCAGCCCTAAAATGGTCCAGTTACGCATTTCAGCACGTGCGAGAGCATACAACACGTGTGCTAATAGCTAACACTCAACTAGGGCTGATATTATTTTAACACAGAACATGACAAAACCGAATAAAACACATACCTGGGACAAACACGACCAAAAGGGTGGTTAGAATACATTGCATCGATGTTGCATGAGAAGTCTTAGCTAAATGAAATAAACAGAGGTTCGGAGTTCACAAGCAGGCCAATAAACACACTCTTCATTTTATCGTCACAAATAACTGACAGACAAAATAAGTAAACTTGTGTTTGAAAACAATCCACACTTAGCTTTTAAGACGGAGCAATCATTGATGCGACTTACCAGCAGGGAGATATGAGACTCTGCTGCTGGTGAGGTAGCTCCGCCCCGCAATATCATGTGAGCAAATGCGAGTGATGCAACAGCCAATGGCGAGTTTTCCCAATTTATGCATGCATTTAACTAACATTATTTAAACTCTGTTACATACACCCCCCTAAATTCTGCTAAATTGGGCTAGAACCAGCATATGCAACAAAGAGAATATACAGTAAAGATTGCATGAAAAAAACCCAGATGTGAGTACAAGAGCTTTACAATACAGTATGTCAGAAAATCATTCTCTTCCCAAGAAATGCGTAAGGATGGAATGGTACCAGGTCCCACACTTAACACAGACTATAGGAGGTGCAGTCTACACACTCCTAGAGGTTACAAATGTATCATTCAGACTTGGACATATTAAAGCATATGTCATAAATCATATGATATTGCTAAAAAGAACATTATTTTGTGTATTTGGTGTAATGAAATGTTTATGCGGTTTAAGGTTAAAACAGACCATGCTAACCAAACTGTTCATATAATCGCTCTAAATGCATGTGTTTTTCTATGTAAACGCGCTAGACGGACGTGAATGGCGGTTGTGTTCGCTAGGGGTGTGCCATATCATACCATTCACGATAATACCGGTATAAATTTTTACATGATAAAAAAGTGTCATATCGCGATATTAATAGGCTTGTTTGAGATGAGCAAAATCTGCGCAGAACCGATCACCGGTGATCACCGCAAGATGCATGCCGGTTAGAAAAGTGTCAGTTACGTCCCACTTGCTCTGAAGTCATGCTGATGTGTGCCAAAAAACTCTTGCGACGGCGAGGCGGCTGTGTCGGATTGTACAGTCGAGCACAGTTGCTCTCCACCGACTGCGTTGATCAAAAGCATGATGGGAAACGACTGACTGACGACACAGCTTAATGCTCATTGGTTCAGACAACTGTGATGCGCTTCTAAAATATATATTTTTTTATCTGATTTCATGTGATTATGTATTTAAATTATGCATGAATGTTCCCAAACACTATGACAGTGCGATCTCT